TTTAACTTTGATTCAGTCCTCCTGTCTTTGAGAGAAGATTTATTTAGATACCCATTTATTGAACTGCCCTTCTTTAAAGCATCCAATACAGAGCAAGGCCCCACTTTCTTGTACCTTCCCCCAAACAGCCTAACACAAGTCTGAAACCCACAGTAAGTCTTTTCTGACGTCTCCTTACTGAGATGCTGTATGGTTCCCATTGGTACATGGTCGCCCTCACTACAACCAGCAAGGCACCCAGCCTGTTCAGCTCAGGTGTGTTCCTAATGGTCTTTGGCTGGAAGGCATTGTCAAAACAACAGCAAACAAAGAAAGCAAATAACAACAAGAAGAAAAGCAAACATGACTTTATCACGGAACTTGCATAAAAACAGAAGCATGAACCAAAAAAGCAAGAACGACTACGTAGACAGTTTAAGTCAGATACAGAACACACGTACATAACAGAGTACCTCTAAAAGAGTGTAAATAAATAATTTGATGAACGGTATTAGGATGAGTGGAAAGGAGCAGGAAATCTGAGACAGAGTCACATTTTAGACTAAATAAAAATGAACTCTAGGTTAAAAGATCAAACACAATTTATGAAAAATGAGATGAAATGTAATGAATTATTTTATCAGATCTATGCAAAAATGACAACTCTTTCATTTGGAAACAAAACCAAAAAGACTGATCAATTTAGGGACAAACACCTTGCATATAATGAAAAGCAACAGACAAATAAAAGAACAGCCCGAGAATACTTGTGTCATTGTGACAAAATATTTAAATCTAGAAGAGACTTCATTCAAATTTTCAAGGAACACATCATATATCCAAAAGATAAATGAGTAAAGGACATAGAAAACAGAGCAAACAAAAACACGGAGCCACGTTCAGTCCTCTCAGTGGTCCAAAGATGTGCCATTTTACAGCTACTAACGTGGCAAGTCAGACAAACGAGCACTCAAAGCTGGAAATGCTGGGGTCATGCTGGGAAGCCCCTTCACGGAGACAGTACTTTACACTGTTACAAATTATTTGTTAAGCAACATAAAGGAGTCACAACCCAATCATCCAAGTCCCAGGAAATCTTTTTGCAGAAACTATCTGCTCAGATTTCACAACAGCATTACCAACGATGGTAAACAGAAACAACTTAAAAATCGAACAAGAGAGAAATGTCTAATGAATTGTGCTGTGTTAACACATGTTTATTCAGTGTTCAAGTAACTATGAAGGCTAGTAACATGGAAACTGTTTAGGATTTAATGTGACAAAAAAATTCTGACAATAAAAGTGCAGATAAAGGCTGCCATTAGCTACATAGCTATAATGTGCCAGGCACTATTTTATACATGTTGGTCACATTTCATTTAATCTTCACAACACCTTGCCAGGAAAGTAGTATATCCCGATTTTACAGATGAAGATACTAGAGCAAAGAGGTTAAATAAACTGCCCAAGGTCACATAGCTGGGGAGTCAGGGAGACAGACATGAACCAAGACAGGACCTCAAAGGCTGTGTTTTTAATTACACTGTTCTGTGTCTTTCATAGACACACAGGACGATTGCAACTAGGTACCACCGTGGGTATCTGGGGGCAAACACTGAAATATAATGTGCAAACGTGAAATAACTGTGATTTGGGAACAGGATTAAAGGCAACTAAATTTTAAAAACCACTGTCTTTAGTAATATATGACCTACCCAACGCAAGCAACAATCAGGCAGTGCACTTGTGAACTCCAATCCTCCGTAGGAAGTTTTAATTAGACACGGCCTTGGAAAAAGACCTGTCCAAAACGACTTCCAATTTCACTCTTTTCTGGCAGAACGGAATGGAGGTAGAGAATGAAGAACATCAGCATGCAGCCACCAGAGGGTGAGGAGGCGAAAACTCAGGGGAGAAAGAGACCCGGAAGGAAACATGGAATTGCCAAGCTGACTGGGAAGACAGGGAAGCTTCAAGACTCCCAGACAAAGAGAGGAGGACTAGGGAGCGTCTGCCTGCGTGCTCCCTCTCGTATAATAATCTGAGCTCCTATCTGCTTACAGTGGGCAAGTATGAGGATAAATCAGAGTCCCTGTGGAAACAGCAGTGAGTGCCCCAACCTTCTGACTTTTTGTCACTCAGCAGTGTCACGTGGCAACCAAAGGGCAGGTGCAGACTCACACCTGCGTGCAGGTGTGCATGCCGACAGCAAACCAAGACGCTGTCGTCTTGGGCAGTGAATTAATCACTCTTTCACAGCTACATCCTCAAGTCTTTTGACTTTATTGGTACTTTTAGGAAGACCCAAGTCTTTTTCTGGTCAAATTTCAGGTGGTAAATGAAAAGTGAGGTTACTCTGGATTCTATGAAAGTTGGATTAGAAAGCCCATGTTAAGAAGCACTGACTTGGGGGCTGGGGGAACCAGAGAACCCCAACCCCAGACATTCTGTGTCATTTGTAAAATTTAGTTTATGACATTACCTAAGTTTCATGTGCACATTTTGACTTCTGTATACACTACAGTGTGCTCCCCATCGAAAGTTTAGTTTCCGTCTGTCACTGTATTGTAGACCCCCTTTGCCATTTCGCCCTCCTCCAGCCCCCTTCCCCTTGGGTAACCACTGCTCTACACCATTTTACTCCGTCTTGCTCAGAAGGCCCCTCGCTTGGTGGGAAACGACCACGTGCTGTGTTTACAGATTATAACCTACAGATTACAGGTGACACCTGTTTCCCAACTACATGAAGTGTGCAACCGTTTCAGAAGAGTACTGCACAGAGGGTCAGGGCAGAGCTAATCTGTCATCAAGGCTTCTGAGACAGGGTGAGCAGAGCTGAGAGCTTCACAGACATCAACATTTCAGGGGGCCACACTGAGTAGGGCTGGAGAAGGAAGGACGTGAGACAATGCCCTGTAAATCTGGCTTCACCCACACTCCATCTCAGCCCAGCCGGAATCAGTTATGTGCCAAATGATTAATCACTGTCTCCCTGAAATAGTCAAGGTCCTGCTGCCTATTCTTAGGATGGAAAAAAAAATGTCTAATGCTGAAATATGACTTTCAGGCTTTTGTTCATTCCATACCCTTTTAATAAAGTAGAACACACAATTTTGCCTTGGGCTTGGCTGAGTTATGGGGTTCATTTCCTAAGCAGCACAGCTGCATCCCTCAGCCCCATTACCAAACTGAGCCCGAGATACAGGAAGCCTAGTAGAGAAGGAAAAATTCTGGGCCGTAACTAAGGCATCCATTTATCAGATGCAGTAACAGCTCTGAGAGACAGGTTTTCTCTTTATAATTACAGAAAAACAGGTGCTACAGAAGAAAATGAATCCAGCTAATGTGCAAACGCAGAGGGTGCTGCGTGGCATGTGCTTCTGACAAACGTGGCTGATGAATTACACCCGGCCTCCATCACTGCTGGGAGGAGGTAGGGAAGCGGGAGAGCCAATCCTGGAGGGACTGTCCGAGGCACCTGCTCCAGTGGGGTCCCCACGTACCTTCTCTGCGTACTCAGACACAATCTGCTTGATCTCGGCTGAGCAAAGACCCACGATCTGGCCCACGGAGCTGGCGGTCAGACGGCTCTGCAATCACAGGGAGGGGTGCTCTTAAGGCCAGGCACTGTGCCAAACACTGGAGCCCCCGGGCACTCTGAGTGTTGCAGCAAAACTAACAAACTTCCCAGGGAAAAGTAATTGGGCTTTTGCTCATGTGTTCGTCAGTGAGGAAGGGAGAAGACGAGCCTCAGGACGAACGTCTCTTCCTCCTGGGTCACTCAGCTGACTGTGTGAGAGTCTCCTCGGCCCCTGGGGCATCTTTGGAAAATCACTCTTCACCATTTACATCCCATCCCAAGGTCTTTACTCTGAGAGCCACTAGAGAGTCTGAAGGGAACTTGGCGGGCATAGGATTCAAACTAAAAAAGAAGTACCAATGGGAGAGGATGAGGGATCTCCGAATTCCTGAAGTCTCTCCTGCCACAGGCCTTTCCTGCCCTAAAAAGGAATTCTCCTTTCAAAGCACTTGGTTGAAACTTTTGGACAGGCCCTGCAATCTGGGAGCAGCAACTCTAAATTCGGTATTCTATCTTCTGCCTGGACGGTGTAGGAGGGAAACAGAAGACAAGGGCTCCTGTGGCATGGGATGAGCTCGTGGTGATGGAGAGGCGGTGCCGAACCACGGCTCTCCCACAGACGCCCTTGAGATGCCACCCTAGCTGGGCCCTCCTGTCTTCACAAGGGGCCTTCAAGTCTCCCTCCCGGAGGTTCCCACGGACGGTAACACTATGCATGTATGAAAAGCTTCCCAGAAGATCCCGAGGAAACAGGGAGCACTGAGTGCTGAAGAGAGAGGGCTCTGAAGGCGGTCACAGGGAGGAGGTCCCCCTATAACAGAGCGGGGTGGTTCCAAGTGTGCATCTCCGCCCCATGCCCTCCCACACGACCAGCCCCGCCTCACCTCCTCATTGGCCATGGCAGTCATCGTGGTCATCAGCGACTGAATACGCTGCTGAAAGAGGAACAGGGAGAAGCAGCAGTGAGCAGGTCTGACCACGCAGGACTTAAGCAGTACGTCTAAATGGGTTTTCGCAGCAGAATCCAAGGGCTGTTTCACCCCATCTCGTTTTAAGGTGAGCCTCACGAGAGGTGATGAAAGGAAACCGAGAAGGGTGGGGAAGGCCAGCCCACAGCTGCGGGAAGCAGCTGGCCATTCTGGAAAGCTGGTGATGAAGGTGAAATTTCTCCCCAATTTACACAGAGACCTGGGGGTGGGCGGGCTCCATGGACCACCCACCTCTTCAGCAGCTTGCAGCTCGTCTTCCTCATGGGTGTCCTCTTTTTCTGCAACCGACAGCCCTGTGGGTAGCGCTGTTTTCTTGTCTTCAGCCTGGAAGGGAAGATGTGGAAATAGCTAAGCACTGAAGTTAGAGAACCAGCAGAGAAAGGACAACACTGTAAAAGGGCAGGAGTCTGTGAAAGAAGACACAGATATCTGGAGAAGTGACCCAGCTCCCAGGAAAGAAGGCAAAATCCAGAGACCTTAGCTCCCCCTCCAACCACAGGCCGAGCGGGTGGAGCCGTGCACCTTGCCCAGTGCTGTCTCCACTCCTGAACTGCGAGCAGGTTAAATTCCTATCAGGTCACACGCCTCTGCCAGACTTATCCTAACCCTTTGATTGGGCCTTACCCTACCTTAATACCTTCAAGAGCAGATCACTGGCTTAAGAGTGTTTTTTTTTCAGTTGAGACCCACTGGTGGGATGTGAAAGTAATTTAGCAGGTATGACTGGCGTCAGAATAAATTAAACAAAAATAACCGAACAGATCAGCATGCATGACAGGTAGTAAAGGGTTAAGTCCTGCTTCACGAAACTTTTGTTTTGGGGACCATGTCTTCGCGCGCGCGCACGCGCGCGCGTGTGTGTGTGTGCACGCAAGCAAGCGTGCGTGCGTGCATGTATGTACTGAGTCATGATGAAAAACAGAATTCCTACTTTCAAGGGGGGTCATCAAGCTTTGAAAACCACTGGTCTAAGGGATAAAAACTGAAACAGCCTGACCTGGTGATCAAGCTATGCTTCGGACCCAAGCTCAGGCTCTAAACATACCACACCGCACTCATGACACCTGGACTAATGACTGCTCCCCAAACCTGGCCTGTGGGTCCGGAGTCCTTGGTTTTAGCTCCATCTCTGCATGTACCCGCTGGAGACCTCAGGCTTACAGTCTCTGGATATCAGAGTCTTCTAGGGTTGAATGAAAGGACTGGCCTCAGATCCTCTTCCCAGACCATCCCGATTCTGGGCTGCCTTTCTAGGGCAAGCCTATGACTGACCCTGGGGAACAGTCTGAGCTCCAACATATATGTACAGGTGACAAGACTTCCAGTTCAAATGTGCCATTGGACGTAAGAATGATAAGACCAGCCCAATGTCAATACTATTTCCTGGGCATCTCATGAGTTCTCCAATCTAACCAAATAGCCTATTTCAGAACATGGTCACATACACAGACGTTCTCTCACCATGTGAGGAGTGCTCAGGGCCCAGGGACTGGACTTCATCTTTACAGTTTTAGCGTTATCACAGCCCACATGTTTGACCCTGGGGCCATGACTTTCAATCACCCTTCACTTCCAGGCCCACGATGAGGTGCAGAGCTGGGGACATCAGGAGAAAACTGCAGTGGCCAAAGGCAGCCTGCACAGCCCCGCTGCCCAGGGTCACCCGCGGACCAGAGTCAGTGTCAGACAGGGGCAAAGGGGAGGGGCATGTCCATCTCTCAAACATTCTCTCCCATTCTCCAGGCTTTTCTTACCTTTTCTGTTTTGCTCTGGCGGCTAAATCCATATCTCCTGAAAGCCAGAAAAGAGGAGTTCAATTACTATTCAAAAAACAAATTTGGTCAAACGCATTTTGGTTGGATTTCTACATGAAAAGCATCAAAGAGAATTTAGACTATTTGCTGCCTGGAGAACCTGCTTCAACTGCCGTGACCACAAACCTATTCCAATGCTTTCAAATAAAGGTCCAGCCATTCTATTTGCCATGTAAATACTGTAAATGGGGACTCTCAGTGCAGAGAACGACATTCTCTTTAAGTGCAATCATCACTCTGAATCAGGAACCGCATTTCAAATGCACAGTTTAAGCTAAAATATCTGTACAAATAAATGCGAATGTGTTTGCTCAGGCTAAACATGCTTTCTAATGACTACTTCCATAGCCTCATTCCAGGCCATTTTTTATTCTCAAACACAACCCAAGCACGATGCCAACAGAATGTTGTCTGTTCACTTCATGCAACTTTAAATTCAAAGAAACTCACAAATGCACTTTAGTTTAAATTAGTTTATTTTCAGGTTCTAATTCATAACTATTTTTTTTAAAGCAATGCAAAACCCATTCAACCTAAAACTAAAACCATAATGCAAAGCACCCAAACTCACTTACCTTTAAAGAGTTTATGAGGAAATAAAATTGCAACCATTTAGGAAAGAACAAGCTAGGGACCCCACTCTGCCCTCAACTCACAGCACGATGCCTCACTGGCTGGGTCGGTGTGCCAGCCTCTCACCTGGTCTCGGCTCCCATCCCTTCTTCAACTTCCCGCTGGGCTGACCGCCCCTGTCAAGGGCAGGAGGAAGCAGGCCCTCCTCGGCCCTGTCACGAAGGCCTCCCTGCCACAGTCCTCCTTAACAAACTGCTTGGCCTCACCTCCACCCTCCTGCACGCCCACCGCCTGAGCAGCCCGCTCTGTGCACACTGGGCTGTTCTCTGCCTCCTTCAGTTGTTCCAGTCCCTCCTCACACCTCAGCTCTAGGGCCACCTCTTCTTTGGAGCAGTTCCAGACTTCGCTTTGGATGTCTTTGGTTATTTCCAAAAGTCAATTCCACTCTCAGTCTGAAAATTCTCAATCTGGGTCCCGTGCTTGGCCTGCCAGGTGATGAGTGTGAAGGGAACCACACACCGGGACACAAAAGTTCTTAGGACTTTGCTGACAAATCCCAGGCTTATAGTTGAATCTGGCGTACAGGGTGGGCTGGGCAATACAAAGTCTGGACACTAGAGTCTTCGCTCTGCTGCCAGCCAGCTGTATGACACGGGGAAACTGCTTCGCCTCTCTGAGCTTTGTACCGCTGATGTGGGAATGCAAACATGACCCCAAGCCCTGTTTAAACAGCTCACACAGGATATCTATAAATCACCCCTGACAGTAGGGAGGGCTGGGAGGATACACAAAGGAGAGGCTGGGTGTTTCAGCTGGACACTTCTCTGAAGCTTCCCCCATGCACAAACACTCTGCCCTGGCTGATCCATCCCTGCATCTGTATGTGTTCCCCCTACTTCCTGGGCAGCAATCATGTCTAACTGACTGTTGGCATGTCTGCATCCTTCTCTAAGAAAATACAGAAATCAAGAAGCCAAAAGTATCACCTGACCTTGTAATAGGCTGTCATATAACTGGAGAGACCAAAAATCACTGCTGGGTACAGTGTGCCCAACCACCAGGCATAAATCCATAGGCCCAAAGTGCAGCAGACCAAAGGGAAATTCTGAGTATCCATGCACATTCAGGAAAGGACCTATGGCGTCTTCCCACACTGCAGAGGCAGGAAAACAAACAACTCTATTTCCCACACTCCTTTGCACCTGGGGTTCTGAATATCGTTTAGGTTCCATCAGTGAGATGCATTTGCTGGGGTTCTGAACGTGCAGCAGTCAGATGAGGAGAGAGCGAGAGCACAGTGGCCCCAGCCGGTTCTGGGCTAGGAGCCGTCACGGCGGTTTCTGACCTGGGCAGCAGTGCTGCGGTCTCTTGGTCAGTGGCTGCAGCACCAGCTTCCCAGTTCCACGGGCTGTTAGCTACCCTGCTTGATTACAGAGGTGGAAGCAGCATCCATGGGGGCCCAGTTCTAATGGGATGCATGGGAAATGGCCCTGCCCAGCCTAGATCCCATCTCCTAACTCTTCCCGTCCATCTCTGCAATCAGTCCCTTCTGCTGGAACACGTGGGAGGGTCCTGTGTCCTGGACCAGGAACCCTGACCAGCAGAAGGTCTCACCGAGTGTGCCGCTCCTAGACTTGTCCTTGCACCCTGGCAACTCTTCTGTTCTCCAGGCCTTTGACCTGCAGGGACCTTTAGCGCAGAAGACCCCCTCAGGCAGACAGCCCTCATCTAAGGCCCAGGCACTCTGTGGGTTTCCCAAATAAAGCAGCAAACAACCAAATCTGAATAATTCAATTCCTAGCTCCCATCTGCTCTTCCTTAAAGACAGAGGCTCTGGGAAGACTTTCCTGACCACCTAAAACTAGGTTAGGCCCCCTAGACATGCGCTGCGCTTCCGTGCTGACACCACCAAAGCACTCATCTCAGTGTACGACAGTTCTGTGCTTTGCGCAGTCTGTCTGCTGAGCTCCTGGAGGGGAGGAAATTTGCTTCATTCACTTTTTTCTTTACATTTTGAAATATGAGGTATAATTCACATAACACTAAATTCACCATTTTAGAGTGTATACACAGTACAGGTTTTTAGTGTATTATTTTGTGCAACCATCACTACTGTCTAATCCTAGAACAGTTCCATCACCCTAAGAAATCCACACCCAACATATAAATAGCACTCAGTCCCATCTCCCCCTCTCCTCTTCCCCTGGCAACCACTGATCTACTTCCTGTCTCTCTGGATGTGCCTATTCTGGGCATTCCCTGTAAATGGAATTAAAAATACGTGGCCTTTTATGCTTGGTTTCTTTCACTTAGCATGCCTTCAAGGTTCATCAATATTACAGCATGAATCAGTACCTAATTCCTTTTTATGGCTAAGGAACACCCCATTAGTATGCATACATCATATTCCGTCTATCCTTTCCTCAGCTGGTAGACATCTGAGTTGCTTCCACTTGTTGGTGATTATGAATAGTGCTACTATGAATATTCACTTCTCTATCCCCAGCGCCTAGTCGTGCCTAGCACACAGTAGGTACTCAATTAATGCTTGCTGAATGAATGAAGAGCCCAGGTGATTTTCCTAAAGGACCCTTTCCTCCATGTGGCATGGCGGCAATGCTTCCCTGACAAAGAAGAGCTGTCCTCGGCTGCCTGTCAACGCCTGCCTCATCTGCTCACGGGTCCCGGTGTCTCTGGGAGGGACTCTTCCACGTAGTTTGAGCTTCATCAGGAGAACATGATATCCCTTTATGGCCTATCATCCCTCACAAAGAACAAGGAGATCCTTCAACTTACTTCTATTGCAAATGCATTTACTTCCCTCTCATCCTTCCTAGGTACACTGCTCTACCCTACAACCTCCCTTTTCTCTTGCCCCGTCAGCCAGGCCCCTTCCTCCCAAGCGCCAGTCTGAGACGCAGGGTCATGTGCTCAGACGTGTTCCTGCCTTTCCCTCTGTTAGTGCCGATTCACCAACCCGGCTGATGTCTACACTGTCGGCCCTCTCACCACCCAGTCATGTCCTCACACCCTAGACCCAGTACTCGGTCTTCAGCATCAAGGATGTACACCTTCCAGAACAGAACAGTCCGAAAGAAACAGCATGGGAGCCACACATGTAACTTTAAATTAGTAGACTCACATGTCCCAGTTATTCCCAACATACTTAAACATACTGTGATAACTAAATAAAGCATGCATTTAAAAACTAAATTTAACTTCATTAAAATTAAAATTCTGTTCCTGAGCCACACTAGTCGCATTGTAAGTGCTCAGCAGCCATATGTGGCTTGTGGCTACCATACCGGACATCACAGTTCCAGAAAACTAGCCTTCAAGAACAGCTGGCCCAGGGCAAATTCAGGCAGATGTCAAACTGCCTGGGATCCAGAACAAAACAGGGACACTGCAGTCCTAAATACTGAGGGCTGCGGGCTCTGCTCATTCAGCAAGCACTTACTAAACACCTTCTGTGAGCATGTCATAGGCCTTCAGAGGGGACACAGGTGGAGAGACATGTCACACGCACTTAAAGTGGCAGTTTTACAGTCTGGTTATGTGTTTAAGCTAGCTTCTAAAAGTTAATTAGACCCATAATGTAATTGAAATATTATAAAGTTACAATTGTGTTTAAGCCTAAAATCAAAACTATGAGTCTTATTTTTCCAACAACGTAATATTTAAACAAATATATCCAAACGTGTTTTTAACAGACACACAGTCCTTAAGGCCCTCAGCATAGTTGACTAGGCTCAAAGTCCAGCCTTATTTGTGCAACTGAAAGTCCAAGAAAAAGGGGAAGAAACTGGAATGCTGGCTTCAAAGCCAGATGCACTGTGCACCGAGGCTGATGAGTGACCTTCAAACCCAAACAGGAATCACTGTTTTCAGACCTTCTTACTCTAGGAGTCAAAATACTCTCTTATCAAGAAGTGAGATGAAGGAAAAAACAGAAACACTGACAACAGATGGGGATTCTGATTTCTAGATGGGGATGAGCAACTAAGGGGTGAGGGAGAGGCAGGGCGGAGCACAGTGAGTCCCAGAGCCTTGCCTGAGTGGGGAAGGGGACCGGGAAGGACGGGTGAGACTTATCATAAAGGAGCTGGAGGGAGGGCTGCAGCCGGGGGTAATGAGAGCATAGGGACAAGGAGAATGGAAAGGAGAGGCTCAAGATAGGCTCCTCACTGAATCTAAAGATCACCCTATTTAAGGGCATTTGAGAACTGAAAACTGCTGCTGCTAAAAATGATGTGGTGGTGATGATGGTAACGTTGCGGATGGTGACGATGATGGAAAGTGCGGATGAGGATGATGTGATGATGATGGAGATGATGATGAAGGTGATGATGGTGATGATGATGATGAAGACAGCACCTAATAGTTGACATTTATTGCTTCCTACATAGAAGAAACTGTTCAAAGTCCTTCATCTAGACACTGTTAGGTAATCCTCATTTAATGGGAAAGATCTCCATGCAGTGGAGAGCACTGAACACAACCCTGAGGAGAGAGTCTGACAGCCAGAAAGGAGGGGAGGGACCTTGCCAAGGACAGGGAATAAAAGAAACACTTCTTGGGGCTCTCAGTTTTATCCAATTTGCTGTCAGTTTTAGTAACTACTCTCTTCTTGTTCAGTCTCAGACCAAACAACAAAGGCTGGGCCTGTCTTCCTAAAACCAGGAACCAAACTCTCACTGGAGGTCAAATTAACATTTGTAGCTAATGATAATGACATGCTTCCGGAGTCCAACAAACCTCAGTTCAAGTCCCAGTTTGAGGCTCTTACTAGTTCTTAACAGTTAAGAGTTGGCCTTGGGCAGATTATTTTTTTAATCTTTGGGAATGCTGTCTTTATTGTTCTCAAAAAGGAGAATGATCTGTATAAACCATGAGACTTTCCCACTTTTCACAAGTTTACCCTCTCCTTACCAGAGAAGCTAAAAAAGAAAAAAAATAGCAAAATTATCCCATTTCCTAAAAAACAAAGGGAAAAAAGCTTCCATCAAACACCTACCCTGGGCTTAGAACTCAGCAGAAGTCAGCACGCCCCCACCGACAGGGACTGAGACTGGGGCTGAGCCACGTCACTTCCTCACACCCCAAATGTGGGAGGGGCCCCGAACTCCGCTCCCTAAAGAAAGCCAAGCCAGACACGGGCCTCAAACTGCACCAGCTGCTCCTGAAGATGAGCAGGGAGGTCCTAAACTCACCCAGCACCGCATGGTCACAACAACTGCCAGCTACGGCCCATGGAAAAGATCCAATCTGAAACAATTTCAAGACAAAATACTGAGATATTGTCAGCATGGCCTCTGTGAGGTGGGCAATTTACTGAATCTGACTTCTTTTCAACCCCCAGGAACATCTGAGTACATCTGTGATGTTGGGGGAAAAAAAATGGAGGCACGAACAATACAAACTAACAAAACCCATGGCACTTCCCTAAGTACTCTTTGGCTCTGAAACACGTGACACTCACAGGGGCTGTTCCTCCAGCTCTGGCTTGCTCAGGGCAGTGCATCCTCACCTGTCTGCTTGCAGTGGGGCGTGGCTAGAAAGACCCCATCACAGTGTCCAGGGCATGTGCCCATCCACACTCAGAAGGGCTCCACCCTTGGTTGTTATCGCCATCATGAAATTCTTAATGATTAATCATTATTCATGATTCTTAACCAAGGGCCCTGCATTTTCATTTTATAGTTGGCCTTGAAAATTATGCAGAGGGTCTGGTGATGCCAACTTAGAAGAGGGGCTCAATTCACAGCCACAAGTGGGGAGCTGTGGCGTGGCCCTCACACCCGGGTCAGGGCCAGAACTCACAACTTCTTTGGAAGGAATCGGACTAGTTTTCATTCTTAGGAAGAAAGGATCTGACCTCACACTACCTCCTTAAAAACAAAAACAAACGAAAAAGGCAACTGCAGTTTCATTTGAAAGATGGAAGAAGTAAGCCAAGTAGGCGTTAATTTCCCTCTGGTTCTCGCCAGTCCCCCAGGGGCAGAAGCCGTTAGATGCTCACTCGGAAACGCTAGGGGCAGTGCTGTTAGTTCCAGAAACCCAACGAGGGCTGGGCCATGGGGCGGGGCAGCACACAGCAACCACTTGGACCAGAGGGCAAGGAAGCATGAAGAGACATACTTACATCAAGGAATCAGTTATCCTAAGTGGAAAATGCAGGACACAAATGAAGGTTAACAGGAGGAGTGGAGCAAAAAATTCAGGGAGAAGAGCTTCCCTGTGTGTGTGTATGGGGGGCAGGGTTAAGTAAAAACTAAGGCTACAGGAATTTTTTTTTTAATTAGAGATGTTTTTAAGAAGTGACAAAAACCACTTCTAAATTCTTCATTTTCCTGGTCAGGACAATTTTTCACAGGGAACCAAAGCTATTACTGTAACACAAAGTCAAACTGCTATAATAGCTTTCAGTCCTTCAGTTTACTGGAAGATGTTAACAGACCACAGGGGCACGAAGGGCAGACCACCCGAGGTTCTGCAAACACCCCACACTCCCCAGCTCCCCGGGGAGGGCAGAGTCAGGGCAGGGGAGGAATTTCAAAGCTCAGCCTTCTCCCCCCATCAGGGAGGCTACCCACAGAAACTGGGCCAGTTCAAGAGTGTGGGGAATCACAGGCCAAAACCCACAAACTCAGTCAGGTGAAAGCCAGCCAGCGTAATCCTAAAGAAGCGATTTAAAGGAGCTTTTCTCCTCAATGGTTTGATCAACCAGGGACTTGAGACTGGGTTCTGCTCCTTACCTGCCGTATTCCAAAAGCGTGGCGTGGATTCGAGATTCTTCATCCAGCAGCTCCTCTGCTCCCTGCTGGCGTTTGTATTTTCGACGGGGCTTGTAAGCATCCTGAGAAGCGGATGAGACAGAGAGTTACTGAGCTGTGAGGAGGCTCTCCTCCTGAACCGGCTGCTGGGTGGTCCAGCCAGTGAGGTGTGAGAGTCCTTCCCGGTCACGGTGAGTACACAGCTCTCCGGCAGAACACCCGGCACAAGGGGCTGCCTTCAAGCAGTCTGCCACTTTGATTTTCACATCCGTAGCAAAGATTTCTACCCCATCTATTGCTTGTCAACTCTGTTTCAACTTGATGATTTTTTGTTCAATGACATTTTAACATGTCAAACATGTCATCTCACTTCCTAACCTAGAGACTGCCAAAAAAAAAAGCTCCTTCCTGTATGTTGCTTTTATAGATTATACATAGCTTTTTAATCTAGTTAGGGTTTTTTTCGGTATAGTGAAAAGTAGGTATCTATTGATATCTGTTTTTTTAATGGAAAACAAAGGATCCCAACATCATCAACTTAACAGTCCATCCTCCCCTTGATTTAGAAAACACACATAAAAACGTGCACCAATGCTATCCTCTTCCATTCCTCTTGCTTTGTGAGTCTTCATCCTGTCTCCACTGTTCTTTTCCAAATTTCCTGGCTCTTCTTACACATTTTCTCTTCCAAATAAATTCTAGTTATCAGCTTGTCAAGTTCATTATGAAAAACTGTTGAGCTTTTATTAGAATCACACCAAATTTATAGATTGCTTTGGGAGGAACTGACATCTTTATAATACTGAATCTTGCCTTGAAAAGCAAGGTTTAGGTTTATCTCTCTATTCAAATCTTTTTTTTATTCCTTAATAAAACTTTCCAGAAAAAAATACATATTTTCTACAATCACTACACGTCCCAACTGTTTTACCATCCAGAGCCACAAACTGTGCAACAATCACAGATATATATGTTAACCCAGACTCTTAAAAAAAAAATCCTCTCATGGCAAAGGAAATCTCAATTCTTAAACTGTAATACCAGAAAAGAAGACTAGATACAAACCCTTCAGAGATACGTATCTTTTTTTACAAAAGCGTTTTGAGGTTTATCCTCAAAAAAATTTATGAAAACATAAAATACACCATCAACTTTCTCTGACTTTTAAAATGATTAGAGTATGATTTAGTTACAAATGTAGAAACAAATACAGATTACTCTGTGTAGGACACATTCCAAAACTGCATATGTGCGTGTGTGTGTACAAATACACACTCCTAAATAAAGTATATGGCACGTAGCAGGTGCTCAATTAATGTAGATCCTCACCCCCAGATTACCTGGTTTGTCATTCTTCCCCAAATGAACATCCTTCCTGGTTGCCAAACTGGCATCATATAACACCTCAGTAATACTTGCTCAGGGCTCTGGTGCAAGTAGGGAGCTGTTCATGCGGGGTATTCTAGCTCGTCCCTGGACCTTTTCTCTACCACTAGAGGTCACCACACCCACTCACTACCTGGACATCACCAGGACAAGCACTATCATCAGGTTTCTCCAGACAGTGGCATTTTAATGCTAATTAGAATTCTTCCCCTCTTGATAATCCTGGTTAACTTTATTATTATCTCATTTGTTTTTTTAATGAAAAGTTTCAAACATACAGAAAAAAATATCCTTTCTGTAACATATATACAATCTCTACAATTTTGAGGAAGAGGAATGAGACAGGTTCTGGGATGATACTGGAGGACTGTTCTTATAATTTGCTGCCACAAATATGCCTCGTTTGCTGCTGGTGCCTACGTGGATAGCAAGCTATAAATAACGTAAAACAGATTTATGGGGAAATGAGAAACATCATAAACCCGTATGACGTCAGGTACTGTGCACGATCTAATTGCCACTGAGCCCCACTGTTACAGCAGCCCTGTATAATTGAGCTTAACTACTACCTTCCCTACTTACTACTCACACAGTCAGTGACCCCAGACAGGAAACTGGGATCTTCTAAAAACGGACTGATTCCAAAACAACAGCACACTGAAACCAACAGCCACAAGGACCTTTTACTCTGCCAAATGACGACAATGTTGGCCTTTTGTGTAATTATTCCTTATACTTTAAAGCAGCTTCCATGCACCTCACATTCTGCATTTTATAACCACACCACGAGGCAGAGGCAAGGCGGATACTGTCACCTCCACTCTGTTACTCAGTCTGTCCAGGATTGCTAGGATAGGTACCCCGGCTGTGAATCCCAACGGTTCCTCCTACACTAACTTGCCGCTGGGGGGCATTCCAGTCACCCACCTGTCACTTAAGCTGAACCCTCTCACGAGACATCATACAATCTGAGGCTGCCACCTGCATCGTTACAATGGTTTGCTTAAGTAAAGGATCTAAACGTCAGAGGTTTCCAGACCAACTACAAAGAACTATTGCTAAGTCACCCTTTAAAGCAATAAGAGTCAGGAACACCAACATCTAGTCCCACCTCTGCCATCCTGACCCAGGGAAAGGCAGTTCCCCTCAAGGCGCCTGTTTCCTTGTCTATAAAATGCGGGTCGGATCTTGAAGGAGACTCCTAGTCTCTCATTCTTTGTGTTCTTTTAACCCTGCAAAGATAATGACTTGGTAGCATGATTCCATCAACAATTTAAAGTCTGACATTAATTTTTTCGAAGACCTACGCTTTTATGTATGACTGCACTCTTCAGGAGGCACGCACAAGCAGCTTCTCCTGTCGGTAACAGCGGCAGCAGCAGAACGGCTGTCCTTTACCGAACGCGAGGCACGTGCTGCCCACCTGACCCTCACACCTACGAGGGCACCATCCTTGTTCACGTACACGGATGACGGCACAGCACAGGGTAACAACGTGCCCATGGTCACCAAGGCTGTAAACGACAGACACAGGACGACTCCAGAACTGAGACTCTGAAGCACCCTGCAAAGTGTGTTCTACCTCAACTTGGATCACCTCCATGGTGGGCTCAGATCACTTGCTCAGCAGATGCCAAAGGATACACGAGCGGGGTTAAAAAAAAATCGGTGATCCTTTTGTAAAGCAGAAGCCCCTGTGATGAGGGTCACAGATCTCAACTTTGCAGGCCCAGCTACCAGTCAGGTTCCCTCTGAGTCGCATCTCAAATGGCAGGAAAGGGAGGCAAACACGAGCACCAGGATCGCATGTGCAGCAACGTCCTCACCACGGCCACCAACAGCCACTCCCCTGTGGACTCCAGGAGCCGGCGAAGCCCGGCCCAGCAGGAAGCGGAGTCCCAGGGGCTGCCTGCGCTGACCGAGCAGCTCACCCTCGGGGCCCACCCGACACCCCAGCCCACGAGCCCCTGAACAAACACTGCTTTCCACCCAAAGGGGCACCACCGGTGTTCCCACCACCGCGTGCGGGGGCCTGAAAGATCCCACAAGAAAAAGTGATCATAACTGGCACAAGTATGCCTGTTTCCTTCATGTCCACATTAATAAAATCACCACCACCACCACCATGGAGGCCCCGGGTGCTGAGTGAGGATTTTCTTTAAAAACTCCATTGCAAATGAGAGGAAGAAAAAAATGTGTCTCTAGAGGCCTGAAATGTCTAATAAATACAGAGGTGTCAGGCTCAGCTTCATTGACAGGCTGACCAACAGCTACACGGGCCTTTCATTCTCGGTGATACAGCCCCAAAACGTAATGTTTCTCACTCTCTACCCAGGGCTCCAAGTGAGATTTACATCTGAAGATAGTCGATTAAGCATTATATATTTTTTACTTCGTTGTTTTTGAACTGGTAATACACAGACTCAGTATCAAATTCAAACAGTACAGGGTTTACAGGGAAAAGAGAATTTCCTTTCCCCTCTGCCCCTGGTTCCCTGGCTCCCTGTATCAGAGGTAACCCTGCCACCTAGTTCTCAGATCTCTGCAGAAAAAAGGAAGCACATTTAAACAAGGAAAGCAACTAATTGGTTACTATCTGTCCTGAAAATGTAACTAGGAAGAATCTTTAATAGCATACAAGACTTCATGTAGGTAAGTGGAAAAAAAACTTACAAACTTATAGTCAAAGTAAAATTCTAGTTTGGTATAAAAATGCACATTAAAAACACGGAAGAGACAGGTCCAAGCATCAAAAGTGGCTGCTTCTGTGTTGTTGGATTAAGGTTGATTTTCTCCCTCTGTATCTATCAACCTTTAAAAAAAACCAAAACTTTAAGGATGTTATAAACTGTACACCAATTTCATAACCAGGGAAAAAAATTACTCTGCTGTTCTATCACGTCCTCTTAATTATTACTATTTAGTACTGCCACCAAATCTGAAACCAGTATCTGGCTTCAGAGTGGACTCTCTTATAGGTTTTCCATTCCTGCCATTTCCAAAATGGAACCATGGAAAAGATGCAAATTACAACTATAAAGTGACAAAGATTCTTTTGTTCTGTTTTAAATGAGCATTCTAAGCCTTTCATCATGTAACAGTTACTATTCTTTCCAGAGTAATCACCTTGAGAGACCACATATTTATTCTTAAAGTGAAAAAAAAAAGAGCAAGATTATACATTATTTTCTGAAGAAAGAGAACTTACACCCAGGCATTGAGGCTCCATTCCCGTCAGCTCAGGTAGGAAGGCCGGAGGGTGGGGTAGGGGGGTGCTAACCAAGTTCTGCTGTGCTCTGGCCCAGAAGGTTCTGAAAAGGCCCCAAGCTCTTCCCTGGGCCTTGTGCTGGGGAAGACCCCGTGGTTCAGATGCACCGTGCATGGTGACAAAGGCCATCCCAGAGTTTCCCACACAAAGCTCAGAAGCTGCTCTGCCTCTCCACAGCCATCATGAGAGTGGAGGCCTCACCAGATCAGCTCCAGTTCATCATCTGCCCTTGGGAGCTCCCTGAAGTTCACACCTGCCACTGGCGCAAACGAGGAAGGGCTTTGGGTTTAGAAAACTGGAACTAAGGAAAACATAGGGCTGTGGTTGTGGCACGTTCGACCCGTGGACACTGGCATGGGATAACGGGCAGGGAGGTGGGCAGAAGCCTCCCTCACATGCGCATGTGAGGTCAGCTTCTGGGTAAGTCTGGCAGATAGAAACCTCGGGGAGCAGGGGTTTCTATGATTTAAATCAAAGGGCTATTTGGAGGCTATGACCCTACGTTCTTCCCTTGCAGAAGAGCTCAGGAAGGGAGCTTACCGAGAGGTCGACGACTGTCTTGATGGCCCTTTCTCTTCTCTTGATGAAGTCATCATCCTACAAGACAGAACCCAGGGATTAAACAAAGCCTGCATGAAGACTGAGACTCAACTGGACTGCCCAGCAACCCGTCTTATAAACTGACTTCTCTTCACAACTTTGCCTGAAGAAGTTTCAATATTCTAACACACTGGAATATATTCTGCACGGGAAAAAGCCAGGGCCTCTGCAGACGGCTTCAAAGCAGATCCCTACAGCCGGTCAGAAAAAGGGGGGCTACAGAGTGTGGCAGTGAAGACAAGTATTCTCACTTCAAATCCTCATGAGCTCTGAAACCTCAGGCAAGTTATCGAACCTCTGAGCCTCAGTTTCTCCATCTGTAAAATGGGGCCATCTATCTCAGCGAGCAGTCGCGAGGATTAAAAAGTAGAAGACACGTGATGTGCTGGGACTGGGATTTAGTATCTGAAAATGAGCAGCTTTTATTGTTGCTGTTGTGATTATTATTAAACTGTTACTACCGGAGTGTTCTAAGCAGATGGTCTCCCGAAAAGCCTTTATATGACTGTACAAAAACATACTCATGCTCTTGAAATTTAATAAAAGCTTTGGATCAAGTGCCAAAATTGAGAGAAAAGGACAAAATTGCAGGGCTTAACACGGAGTGCCTATTTAAAGAGGCAACTCTAATGAAGCAGGAGGCCCAGTTTCAGTGCGGACCAGGTAGAGACAGAAATACCAAGACCAGGTCGGGGCAGAGATGCCACGCAGGTGGGTGGCAGTGCAGGGAGCCTGAGCTCACCCTGCCCCTTCCTGGGGGGCCCCCAGCTGTGCACTCACGTTCTCAGTTGGACAAGAACAGAACAGGATACTGACCTCGGGGAGGCGGTAGGTCTTCTGGAACTGGGATATGGAGTAGGAGCGGATGTAGTCACCCATCTCTTCTTTCGTTTCGATAGCCCGCTTCACCAGCCACTGGGGAAGGAAGCAGGGAGACGGGGGTTGACGGGGATGGAACACCAATGCGGTAAAGGCTGACTCCGGGACAGGGCAAGTCATGAATCCAAGTCACAGAATGTGCACTGAGCAGGCGGCAAGAGACTCAGCACACTCTGCCCTACAGGAAAGGCCACCGCTGGGCGTCTGGATGCTGGGGTCCAGTGGGACCTAGAGTTGGCAGCCGTGCAGGAGCCTGGGAGCCTCCCTCCAGGTGCCCAGGCCTCAGATTCCCCCTCCACACCTACGGGGGAGGCGAGAGTATCAGTTCCTTTCACTGTACAGAGGGATTGTGGGAGCAAATGAACTCAAGTACTAGAGAGCCCTGGACATGCCTGGCACACAGCACGAACACAGCTGGTCCCCACCTCCCTGCTCCTAGAGGCAGATCGCACTGGAACTCGCTCCTACCGGTGCTGCTGCTGCCAGAGAACCACTGAGAACACCTAGTCTAACCTCCTGCGATAGGTGAAAAAATCCCCACAGTATTCAGACTTGGGAGCAGGGTGTACTGTGTACACAGCCCCCGGCTCAGGTGGGCCTGGCGCTCACCGCACCTGCTCTCTGAATCCGCACGACACAATAAGGTAATAGAATCGGAAGCTAAGAGACCACACGGTCTGTCCCCTGATCCACAGCCCGCGGGCCCCAGAGCTGTGGGCCCCAAATCGGGGGCTTTTTAGCACATCTGAGCCGCATGAAGTCTCCCAGTTCCACGGGGCTGATGTGCAGAAGGGGCTGCTCTTCGTGTCTGCCTACTGACAACTCCAGGTACCTGAAACACACACACACACATCCCGCAGCCTGCGCAAGACCCAGGCGCTCTGAGGGTGAGAGTGCAAATGCAGAAAGCGCCTCCGCTTCTCCTCCCCGACCCTTCCTTCATTCCTGTTGTTACTCAAGAACATATGGATGGGCTGCCATCTGTCAGGGTCGCCATCTCTCTCCAGAGAGCACTCCTAACGCCTTTGGGTGGTTTGGGACAGTAGCTCTGTTTCCCCGAGAGCACAGCCAGGGGCGGCAAGGTTTACACGCGCACGGGGCACGGACTTCTGCAGGGACGGCAGGAATGCAGCCAGCTTGAGGAAAGGACGCGCTTAGGAAGCAGGTACCCAGGGCAGGGGGGCTGCCAACAACTATTCTTTTAGTTTTAGGGGATCATTTTCTTGTTGTTGGTATCCTTCATTCATCTCCATCACTCCACTCCACCCCACCTCCAAACAATGACCTCAGGCACCCACTAAAACCCAGAAGGGCGGGGCAGACGATCAGACAGCACTGGGAACCACCCTAGGCCCTTACCGGCACCCCCACCCCAGCACTGCCCCTCAACTCAGGAGGCTGACTCACTGCTCAGCTCAGTTTCACTCTGCTTTCCTCTGCATCTGGAGACCCAGTTTCTGGCCTCTCATAGTTGTTTCCTTCTCAGCTCTGCCTCCATTAATTAGATCTACACTGAGTTATTGCGGCTGGATCCCAGCGCTCAGAGGAGGAAGGCAAAGCTGTCTGAGTCACAGGATTTCCTTTGAGACTTGGCTGCTCTGTTTTGGAGTCCCCAGTGTGACAGGCTGCAGAGGGGGACTCTAGGAGAGCTGAGCTCCGCCACGGGCCCCTAGCATACGACACAAATGCCTACCCTCACCGGCTTCACGTGTCCCGTGTGGGAGAAAATGATGAGACCTGGAACTCCCAGGAGCTGCAAGTCAGCTCCGCTTTTCTCCTGGCCGCACTCAGGGTCACTGCAGCTGCGCTAACGGCGGGAACGAGGGTGGCGAGCCTCTGGAAGCACACCGCGCGACCAGCTCAGTGGTGCCCCGTGGCTGGTCCATGACTGCCCTTTCACTGGTGTCCAGCATGACAGGAAGCACCTCCAGGTGTGTGGCGAGTTCTTTATAAGATTAAACATATTCCATTTGAAGGACTGTCCTTTAATTTAAAAGTGGGGGTTAAATGGCCTTTCTCTGGGGGAAGGGCATAGCTCAGTGGTAGACAGAGTGTTTGGTGTGCACAAGGTCCTGGGTTCCAACTCCAGTACCTCCACTGAAAAAAAAAAGGGTCTTTCTTTTAGGATATTATAGAGAAAGATACTGGTTACTTAAAAAAAATGATGTCCATATGGGCCAAAATACAGGTGGTAACCACAGGTCAACCAACATGTTTGGTTTAAAATTTTACAGGTCCGTGAAGTGAAGTCTGGTAACCATTAGCCGAGGCGCTCACACCCAGACGGGAAGCCCTCCAGCACTGCACTCACAGCACAGAACATCAGGCACTCAGAATGCCCAAACCAACTATGGAAAACCACTCTGCCTTCATCGCCTTCTCACATCTGGACTCGAGTTTTGGCCCTCAAAGTTCTAGCACAGGACTGAGCATGGTCTGGTCACTAGAGATCCAGGCAACAACGTCAGCCTGGTGGTGCTGGAGGTGTCAGTGACAACCCACACAAGGAGGACCAGCGACCATTGCCGCAGCAAACATCCAAATGGCATCCCGAGTCAAAGTCTCAGCCTCAGATGTGTAAACACCATTTACAAATTTCATCACACGTGCTTTGAAGTCTAGAGCAGGGGGAGACTCCCAGTCACGGGAACAGCCCCAGAAACAACCACGTAGCACTTACGAAGCACTAAATGTGCCAGTCCCTCAGCCAGGCACTTCACACACGTTAACCTACTCAGTTTTCATCCATAGTGGATTTTCCTCCAGAAAGGGGGAAGGAACGAACGGACAGGTGTTTTCTCCGGACAGAAACTAGAAGGCAGGAAATCCTGTGCAGTGTCACCAGCAGCACCTCCAGCTGTGCTAGTGTCACTGGAATCTCAAATTTGATACGGTGGTGGAAAAAAATCATAGCATCCGGTCAGGTAGGCGCTATCATAATTTCTGTTTAACAGGTAAGTTACGTTGTTTGTCGGAGGTCACAGAGCTAGAAAGCGGCAGAGTGAAGATCTGAACCCAGGAAGTCTCGAGAGTCCAGGCTGTCACTCCTACACTGTATAAACTTAACAGAAGCACGAGACTTCTCCAGCGAGCGCTGTGCAGCTTAGCTTGTGGTGGCCGCATGCTGGCGGAGTGGGAAAAGCACAAGGCGTGAAGACAGGACTTTACGCTGGAATCTGCCTCTCTCCTCCCTGGTTCTCTGCTCTCAAATCGATTGTCCTCTCTGAGTATCACTTTGCTCAGAGGTAAGATGGGGATTATACTAGATGTTTCAAAGAACGCTGCTAGGATCAGAGGCAGAGCACTGAGCACACAGCAGGCAACAAACCTGAGTCCCTTCGCTCCTCCTCTTCTGTGGTGCCTGCAGGAGGGGCTGACACAGCACGAGCCACGGGGCCCTGGGGGAAAGCTGTGCTGGAGATAAGTCCCTCATTAGATATTTAGTCCTCAAATAAGACCTGAATGCCTATAAAGTGCCAGAAACTCTAGGAGGTGCCAGAGACACGACAGGGAGCAGGTTACAGTCTGATGGGAGAATCACCCAGACGCTTGCATGTACACGCCCACACACCGCAGTAAGGAAGTGCAGTGAAGGCAGGGATGCAGCCATGTGAGAGGACACAGTAAAGGAACCCGTTCTGGATTCAGGGGGCAGGGGAAGCTTTCCTGAGGAAGCTTGGTGGACCTGAGAGCTGAAGGATGAACATGAATTAGGCAGGTTAAGGAGAGAAGGGAAGAGCTTCCCGGCCGGAGAGGAAGGCATCATGGCAGGAGGAGGCATAGTACGTGTGAGGACATTTGAAGATGAGTCAGAGGGGCTAGAACAGAAAGGACCCCGAGAAGCAAGAACTCACACGAGGCTGGATAGGCTGAGGGGACCAGAGCCTGGGGGGCTACCGGGTTCTGTCTTTCCCAGGGGGGCAATGAAAAGCTACTAACAGGTACAAAGATCGGAGCAGGTGACGGTGTGAACGAGGGCAGATGGGGTACTGAGGACCTCTCGAGGACGACACCAGAGGATGTCATGTTCTGCTGTCACCTAGCAGACACGAGGCCCAGCAAATTCCAGGATCCCGGCCGGACGGCCCCAGAGCCAGACCCCGTCAGAACTCAGAGGGCGAGAAACCCCGCAGACGCTCTCACCTGAACGACAGGAAATATGTGAATAAAGTCCATCCCCTGGATCTGGTGCGGCTCCAGCTGGTGTGGACACTTCATTCTCGGCAGGACGGAGACGATTTTTTCTGACAGAGCTCTGTTGGGAGAAAGCAGCGAGCAGGAGTGAGAACGCAGTAAGCGTCCCTTAGGCATCTCCCTCGGCGGGGCTGCACCCCAGAGGAACCTGGGGCTTCTCAGTACCAGACCACCACCAAGTTTCTCCCAGCTGACGGCAAAGGGAGAAAAACAGGCACCACTTAGATGTGTGTGAGCACGGAAGTCCGCAAAGCCGCCGTCACCCTTCATTCTAAGATTGGGTGCTTCCTACTTTTTATATTAAAATATTCTGTTTCTTTATGAAGTTACAATCACGTTTGAGGTACAACAGTTGAGTAAGTTTTTAACACTCCTACATGGTAAAATAAGTTATCAGTGCCCTGTATTCTTTTACATTTCTTACTGCTCTACTTTTTCCACAAGTCTGGGAACCACTAGGCTTAACACTCGAAACTGCTCTAAATATCATTTGGGCAACAAATACTTACCAGACCCTGTGCTGGGTGCCCAGAGTATTAAGACAAAACATGGGACCTCGTGCTTAAAAAAATTTTTTTTTGAAGTTCTCTACTCTGGTACAAAGTATTTTTGAAATAAAAAAAAGCCCTTACTTTTTTTGATACTCTAAAATTAATCCTGGATTTGAGGGAAATTCGTGTCCTCACTCAATTTTCCAGAGAGGAGTTTTCCACTTCTCACGAGGGACACTCAGCTCTCTCTCCCACACCTTGCTCCCGTCCTCCCTGAACTGCTGGGGGAGGAGAGGAGGGGCCCGGCTCCTTGGGGCTCCTGTCTCCTGTCTCAGCTGGGAGGTAAGCACCCTCCCATGGCTGGATGCTCAGCTGAGCCCTGGCCTGGGAGGGCAGGGAAGTTTTATGGCAGGAGTGATAGATGCACCTGTGTGCGAGTCCATTCCACCACAGACTTAAATCTCCTTTTCTAATCAGTTGCTGTTTGATCTCCAACTGCCTGGTTCCTATTTCTTTGATCTGAATTGGATCAGATTCAAGAGAAGAGAATGGAGATCATTTAGCGGGTCCACTAACCCCCCAAACCATAGCATGTGGACCTGGAACCTTGAGAAACAGTCACAAGCCATGACCCTGAGGGGCCACACGGAGAAATGGGGGCTTCTGGCTTAGCCTACTTGGGTAGTTTAGATTATATTCCATCTAAGACCCTTAAAAAATCATAGCCAGTAGCAGCTGCTGGGCCTCATTTACAAGAGTCAGACTGTTTTCTAATATATGGAGGCCCTGGTGAACAAGGTCACCACCAGGTTCTTACTAGATGCTTCAAATGCAGCAAGTCTGGGGTCCACCAGAAGTATTACTTATTCAAAGAAATCTTGTACACCTTTGTCTTTCTGTGGTTCCATAATACTTCCCAGGAGACAGACACCCTTAATACCAACTTCTAACCTGGGCCTGGATGAGAGCAGTTATCTTACCGACATTCTCCTTAGAAGGTCTGATGCCCTCAGTCTTGGGAGGAATGAAGTAATCTAAGGACAAAAGCCAAACGGCTCCCAGGGAACAGTCCTCAGAAAACACTCTACAAAACCGTGTTCATAACAGTTAAAGCTGTGGAGGGGAACAGTCACACTCCCAGCTCCACTGACCATAGTATCAGTGTCAAGTCCAATATGTTAAGAGAAAAGAATGCGAAGGGAAGACTGGTCCCTACCGCACACATTCACAGAAGGAAGGACACCCACTGCCCAGGGAAGAAGCATAGCGGAGGACATTTCCACCCCAAACAGAAGGGGGTGTGATTTACCCAAAAGACCTGAGAAGTGTAGGAGGGAAAGTGTCACATGGCCCCTGGGCGCCCCTACAGGCCCCTCCCTGAGCAGCCTGTCCTCGGCCACGTGTGACTTCTCTGCCACGAGATACGGGGCCTGCCCTGGTGGGGAAGCCTGTGGTTGTCCAGCTCTTCCTGGGGCCCGAATGGGACAGTTTGGTAGGAAGGATTACCAAACTCATTTGGCCACACATCTAAGGCTCTCTCTGATCAGCTTTATTTTCTAATTTGATTTCTCTAAGACTCCCATGCCTTGTTCCTTAATTTCCTTGTAACTTGTGAGGAGTAGACATAGGTGCTTAATTGGCCCTGCTCCCTAGACTCCAAGCTTAACAAATGAAGATGATCACCAACTCTGGCTTTGCACCCTTGCTCAGGGCGGGTCTTAACTGTTCAGAGGGGGCCCCCTGCCCAGCAGGAGGAGAGCGCCCTCTAGCATCCACTAACAGATCCGTGGGTCCGCCTAGGGTTACTGATTGCCTACAACCACTCAGCAGCTTGAGGACCAGAGGCTGGGACCCCCAACCCTAGGCAGCCAACCCTCTTTCAGACAAGGCTCTCCTGGCCACTCCTCAGAGACAGCCCTCCTTCCCCGTTCCCTGAGGCCCTGAGGGAAGGACGCCCCGGGTCATCCCAGGGTTTACAACCCTCTTAAACCCGCCTCCTAGAAATTACTGCCAAGTCTGCACAGTGTCAGCAGCGTGTGGAAGCAGCTGAAGGCACTAACGCTGCTGGGAGGGTGGACGTGGGGGGGACACACAAGTTGCCTGGGGGCAGGCGGCAAAGGGCAGGGAGACTTCTTGCAGAAACCTACCAGTCTCTATTCGTTCGGCCTCCCCCTGTCAATCCTCTGACTTTCTGAAAATGGGGAAACAATCATTGTAGAGCTCACCAGGCAGGCTTCCTAGTCTAAGATTTTAACACGCCTACTTTTCATCACAGGAGACTGGTTTGATTCCTTTAGGTTTTAAGAGTGTTCAGTGCACCGTTTCCTCCTCCACTGCAAGCAGTTTACAAGAGAGGGAATTAAACCAGGGTCTAAATTCCAAGCTCCATCACCTACTCTGGGACTTCTGGCAAGCCGCCCAGTCCCTCTGGTCCAACACTCCCATCACAGAGCGAGGGCTAATCCCTGTCCTGCCTCTTCAAGGGTGGTTGTGAAGGTTAAACAGTAAAACGCACGTGCAAGTGCTCTGCACACAGGTGCCTAGTAAACGTGTTGTAGAACGGAACTCAGTTATAAACCTAAAATCTCACTGATGAGCCTCGGAGCCGAGCACCCTGTGGTGACAGCACTTTAGGACAGGCTGGGGCTGGACGGTGGAAGCTCTTGGAACCCTGTGAAAGAAGGACCAAGGAGGACAAGGCCCCCGTGGGGGACACAGGGAAGACAGCCGGAAAGGTAATCACGCCCTGCGCAGCCAGCGTGCTCCTCAGAGGTGCTGCTGGCCACCTCTCGGGTCCGCTGGGACACGCCGGGGGGCTGTAGACACCTGGCAGTATCAGTCTAAGTTGCACCCAACCAGAAACTTTGTGGGGAGGCCCCCAGACACAGAACACATTCCAAAACCAAACAGAAAAAATTTCTGGATAATTCAGTGCCCTGTGGCTATGGCGTTTCTCCTATAGATAATAAAGACTCAATTCCCTGATGTACTGCTAGGAGTCTGGTGGGGCTTTCCAGGCAAAGCCCTCTCCCCAGCTTTGCCTTCAACTGTAGTTCATGGCTCTGCACTTAGAAGTCACACACCAAGTACTTATCAGAGAATACAGTACATCCTCAACCCCTTATCCAAACCCTTTAGGGGCAGATGTTTCAGAACTCAGAACTCTTTAGATGTCCGCACCTTTGTATACCTAAGGGGCATATACCATGCATTACATAAGACCCAGTAAAAGCCAGAGCAGCACCCTATAATCAAAGAAACGAACATTTCCACCGCAAAACGTATCAATATTCACGTAAGTGGGATCAAAAAAGACCGGAAACAGCCTCAAGTCAGGTCAGGTCAAGTTTCGCTTGCAATTAAGTTCTGTATCCACACTTAGAACAAAAACCCATTTTCAATGTTTTTTTGGAGTTCAGAAATACAGATAAGGGACTGGGAACCTGTGTGAAAAACACGATGCTCCAATATCTATTAAGAGAACTGTCACTGATGGGAAAGTATCACAAACCCCAGAGACGCCAGCATGAAAAAGGCGCTTAAAACTCACTGAAAACTCCAGAGGAATTTAGGAAGGC